TTTTCAAATTGGTTTGTAGTATAAAATCGCTTTGGTAAAAAATCAGTCAAAATCATTAAAAATCGGCTACACCAGTGACCCAATTTTACTGGTTGATCCAATTCTCAAACTTTTCTTTCTTGTTTTCCCAAAACATAATTTGAGTTACTTAAATTGTAACACTTTCATTTATTAATAAAAATAAGAAAATGTCACCCATTTAGTGTAAATATCAAAATCACTTGCTTTCCTAAATGATCTCTAAATTAAGATGTTTTTATCCTTATGATCTCATTAATTTAGCATCAATGATTTCAACTTGCATTAATTTGTTTTAATTTAGTTTTTTAAGTAGTTTTGGAGAATGGACATATTTTAACCAAGAATTTACATTTTTATACATAATTATTAGGTGTATATTTGATTGAAAGCTAATATTTTTGGAACATTTTTCATGATTGACCAAATATTACCAAAAATTTAATTTCAATATTTTTGAAACTTATAAAAATATAAAATAATTATAATATCATGCTGATGTCAGTGGGTTTTTGAGAATGGTCCGACCAATCTGATCAGTTGACCTCTGACCCAATAGTTTAGCCAATTCGCTGTCCAGTTTGAGTTTTACAACATTGTATTTCCCTGTGGTATTAAATTCAACTTCCATAACGTAATTAGCACTCGTTGGAAAAGAATCTAAATCGTGTATGAGGGCTTGGTTTCAGTTTGTTCAAATGAAAAGGCTTAAAAGCCATCTATGGATTTTATGATCATCTAATTAATGTTTTATCAATTGAATTACGTTTTGGCACCAATTGAACAAAGGAAAATGTAATCGTAGTTCACTTTTTATTAATCAGGCACCCATAATTTTTTTTATCATATAATTTAATAAATGAAAATCATATAATATAAATGATAATCAGAGTGCGACAAACAAAAGGCGGAGTGAATTTGTTGTTGATTTTTCTTTTTTGAATTGGGCTGATTTGTTAAAAAAATTAGTTGTAAGTGAGGATAGTGAAATTCTTAAAACCTCGGGGACGGCAGTGAAACTGTTAGAAACTTTTGAAATTATGTCTTTTTTCTTTAATCAAGTCTTTAAAAGCTAAATTATACAACATTTTAAAACGGAGTCCCAAGGCTAAGTCCTAACCACAGAGGTTTCTGGCTTGCCGTTAAACCCTAAACCCATTAACCTCCACCTCCGCTACACCACCGGGCACCACCACCAATCGCCGCCGCGTAGACGAGCTGAAATTATCAAGGTACCTACTTAATTACTGATTTAATTATAAATTATCTCTTACTTTGATCATCATTAGATGGTTGAAAACCTCTTCTGCTCAATTTTTTCTTCGCATTTGCATTTTGAAACTTTGTTTTTCGCTTTTTATATGGCCAAATGGTTTCTTTTAATAATTATGTTAGCTGCAGTAATCTTTCATTCCTCCTCAATTTCGGTAACGTTCGTGGTTGGATTCACTGCTGGGCCAAGTAAAGAACTGGGAGGGTGAAAGGAGAGAATTTTGTTTTTGTTTTTGTTTTTTTCCCCTGTCACAGAATCTGCAAAAGCCAAAATGAGCTTAAAAGTTGCGTTGATTTTGCAGAAAATGCCACGAAAACCCAGGAGGCGCCGGCAACGACCCGTGAGTTTTTCTCCATTTGGTCGCTCAATGGCTTTTCTTTACCCTACCAAAAAGATGAAGCACCAAATTTTGGACTCTGTTATTAAAGACATGTCTGCTCCCAGCACTTCAGGTTGTTCGAAATTTTCTACTTGTCCTAGTAGAATTTAGTGTCAGTAGTACTATAGTTTTCTGGTTATGTAGCTTGGAATTTTGTCCTAAACGATATCAAACATGAATTCAGACGTGGAAATTTCAGCTAATGGGGTGGTAAAGGATGGTACATTTCAGAATCATGGCGAAACCTCAGATTCTTCGGATGATGGAGAGTTTGATGTAAGCAATTCGTCTTTAAAAAACCAGTTTCATTATTATCAGATGCATCTATAAAGTTGTAAAACAATTTCTAATCCATTTTAACTATAAACCTAACTATGTGTTGTGTGATCATCAATTACGAGTAATATATCCTTTGGGATATTTTATGTCCGATGAATAAACTGCATTCAAGTTCTGACTTATAAACTGCACTCAAGTGAGTTGACGTCCTTTTAACATTGTAATTCTTCTCTGAAGGGAGTTGTCCAGGCAGATTTTTCATTCTTTGATCCAAAACCTGATGATTTCAATGGAGTGAAAGTCCTCCTTCAAACCTACATGGATGATAAGCTATGGGATTTAAGTGGCTTTGTAGATTTGATATTGGGACAAACTACCGTCGGGACAGTTGTCAAGATAGAGGATGATGAAGATGAAGGAGTTTATGCTTTTGTTACTGCTCTTAATATGGGAAGATACAAGGCAAGTTAAAGTTGTCTATGCAGTTTGTAGCCCAAATACTGTGGCAGATCATTTTTGTATAGATATTGTGTTACATTTTTTAATGTCAAAAGTCAAGGTTCCTCAGTTTTCTTCTCTAGTCTCAAATTTTACTTCTAAATTATAGGACTAATCAGAATAACCTCAATATTGGAGGTCATGTATATTGAAACTGCATTGTCCAAGAGTTTAAGTAATAATGCTCTGGTCATTGCAGGATCATAAATGTATGATCGAGCTGAAGGAATTTTTGCTTAAGTCATGCAAAGAGGATTCGGTCTCTAATTTGAGGTCTCTTTTGGGAGAGAAGGCACAAGATGTCGGACTATTGGTATCCCAACGTGTAGTTAATCTTCCTCCTCAGCTTTTGCCTCCCCTTTATGATGCTTTATTTGATGAAGTCTCATGGGCAACAGAAGATGAGGTTAGATAAGAAATCTGTGTAAATGGATGAGCTTGGTTGGATATTCTGGTAAATTGCTACAAAATGTTATTTCAGTGGCTTGAGCTTTGTGTTTTTCTGCTTTCTGAAGCCAACAGAGGAGCTCCAAAAATCCTTTTGTTTTAAGTCTTACCTAATGATCAGCAAAATCTACAAGGTATGCTTCTTTAACATTTCACACTCCAGCTCTCACTTTGTTTTGGTTGTCTAGAAGATTCTGAGTTCTCTTTTTCTGACTTTGTATCTGGATCGGCGACTGTAGCATAAGAATGCAAACAAGAAAATGGGGAAGAGTGGAGATAGGGAAGAAGATATAATATATAGCAAGCCAGAAGATGAACTTTTTGATCAGGTACCAATGGTTTTCTATCTTCGCTCATTCTGTGCTTCGAACATGGCACCTGACTTTTTCTCCAAATTAATATTCAGCTGAGCTCCTGGTCCTTCAGTTTCCCGTTACACACTCAGCAGGTGACAGCTAATGAGGTTAGTAATCCTGCTGGCTGAGTTTAATGATTCATGTCATTGATTTTTTGCTTATTGACTCCTTCACGGTGTGTTGTTTACACTATTGTGTATAATTTCTAGTTGCACATTCAGGTCTTATTCAGTTTGCTTCCATGTTTTGGCCTACTTTCTAATTTGGCTATTTAAGGATGTGCGAGCAGCATCTTATTTCAAATGATTAGACAAATTTATGAACATTGAACAATTCTCATGGTAACTGTTGCAATGATAAGTCGATTGGGTTGTTTTAAGGTGGGTGATTTGCAGATTAAGTATGGTTGAGCTTAAAAGATGCTCTCTTGACCTCTTTATGTACTCTTTTACTCAGGACATAATAGTAATACTTCTTTTCTGGTGGGAAAAAGTTGAGCAATCCAAACTCTTTTAACAGTTGGTAATTTATTGATAATGTTAATCAAATTCTTCTGTTTGTCTTGCGAACAATCTTGGGACAGCACCAAAGGGACATGAGGCTAATAATCATTGGATAGAGGAACTAGTTGTTTGGAGAATGTCTGCTAGCTCTAAAGTTTGTGTGATTTCAAGTAAGCATTGGTTTACTGTTCTCCTCCTTTTGGTGCACAAGTTGCAGTGTTGGATGGAGGTAGAGAGCATGCTTTTGGCTGTTCTTCTTTGATCTCTTGAGGAAAGGAAGTGATCATTTCTGAGTGTGTGAAATAATTACTTTGAACATGACTTAAATTTTGCTTAATGTTTCCAATGCCCAAAGAATACAAATAATTCTGCTCGTTTTTTCATTTTTGTTTAATTTTTTTGACATAATAGTTCAGTCTTGTACGATTGAGTGATATAGCAATTACTTCTAGTTGTGTTATGTAGTCCACTCTTCTCCTAACAGTTACCCTGTATTTTCTCATTGTTGCAGCTAAAAGATTACCGCCCTATGGGTTTAGTCATGGCTGTTGATGCAAGTAAAGTTGGCATATTCCGGAAGCAGTTGCATTCTTTGATTGACGAATCATGACATCAAGGTTCCAAGACTTGCACACGGCCTGCTGTTCTCACCTCCCTGGACTGCTTGTGGAAGTGAGAAGTGGCTGTTTCTTTCATTTCAACTATTCTGCAGAAACAGGCCAAGATGGTATTGGAGACTACATTCAGGAAAGAGTTGTAACCTGTATGGTCCGTGTGGCAGAATTTTTTGTATTGCTTGATACTTGTAGATGTCATACTGGATGCGATTGTTTTGAAAAATGCGTCACACCTGATCATGTTGTAAATTGGCTTGAGTGCCTCAAATTTTGTTTCACGTCTATTTAAGGTTTTCTTCCCCTTTTCCCTTCGAAGTAATCGAAGTACTAAATAGTTATCACCTTTTCATTTTCTGTTTTCTTTTGAGTTTTACGATTTTGGAAATCATTAATGAGTTTGTTTGGATAAGAGTTTATTTGGATGATTTATTTGAGATATTTACTGTAGCACTTTTTGTGATGTGATGTATGTGAGATAAAAAGGTGATTGAGAAGAGAAAAAGGTGATTGGAATTTGTGAAAATAAATTTTGCAAACCAAATTTGGCTTGTCCAAACAAACTCATTCATTCTGCAAAGTTGATTTCATAAATCTAAAGCTATATAAGTTAAATAAACCAAAGAAAAAAGTAGGTCATTTGCCATTTATTGGGGTGGTTTTTTTTGGTGGTTGTTTTGGGGATGTTTCTGTGTGTGTGTGTTGGGGGGGGGGGGGGGGGGCGCTGGGAACCCATTTGTCTAGGCAGACACGAAGGACATAAAAGACCTAAGGCTCTCGTCTTCCACCCCACTTCAGCCAGGTCCCAATTCCCAACTTTGCCAGGTTCAATCGCGCCGGCGTCGTCTCCTATCGATTATGGCAGCAGCAGCATCAACATCAACCATCACCAGAGTGCCCGTGGCAGCTTGTAGTAGCATTTCTTTTTCTGAAACGAAAAGACGAATTCAACCTACTCGACTGACAACTACCGATAGAATAAGACTCCCAGCACAACGATTCTCTCGAACCCCGAAATGTCATTTCACGACAGTATCGTGTCTCCCTCCTGCGCCGCTGCCGTTGTCCAAAACCCATTTCAATCCCTCCACCAGGCTCTTTGTCAGCGGTTTGCGCTCTCTCCTCACTCTCATCTTTCCCGCTGAAATGTCCCAAACAGGATTATTACTGTTGGTTTTATGATGTATATTTTGTTACAGGGCTGTCGTTTCGTACCACAGAGGAGAGCTTGACAAATGCCTTCAAAGCTTTTGGCGAGCTCTTAGAAGGTGAGAAGGGCTGCAGAATTCTCAAATCCCAATAAATAGTCTTTTTCTTTTCTGTTTTCCTGGTATATACGACTAGTAATTGCTGCTAGCTTTTTTCTTTTCTTTTTTTTTTTGTGCAGTGAACTTGGTAATGGATAAAATCGCTAATCGACCGAGAGGTTTTGCATTCATTCGCTATGCTACGCAGGAGGAATCTCAGAAAGCCATTGAGGGGATGCATGGCAAGGTACTCTAAATTTGTTCATCAAGTGTATTTGTATTGTTGACTCGGATGAAATATTTTTCTGGTTTGTGTATTTGGTGTATGTAATTTATCTTTCAGTTTCTGGTCCACTTCTGGTTTTTGAACTATTAGGTTTCGGAGGTATGCTAGAACATTTCATTAGTAGTTCAATATAGGAATGTTGGCATTAGGTCTTGGGTCGTCATAGACTCAAGACTCATAAGTTACTTCAGCTTGACCTGAAATTTGGCAACTGCAAAGCTCTGGGTTATACACCCAAATGTTAATATGTTTACTGGAACCAATTGACATATTGTTGGTTTTATTGGTGTTAATGAACTGAGGAAACCGATTTTGTAAGGTTGACTTTAATCGATGCCTCTTAGAAATCGACTTCTTGAATCTTCTTCTTCCTCTGCGACAGATTTTCTTAATTCCCAAATTTTCTCCGCTCTTCCCTCTCCTCAGCATCCATCAACCAATATCACTTTGCCTGCAATCTACTCTAATATCTTTATCATTGTTATTTTCAAATTTCAAGGTGTCGGGATTAGGCTGACACAGCTGATGAAAGTAGGCACATCTGCCGTGGTAGTTTGATATTGACGGTGGTGGTACAGAGGGAATTTGTACACATGCTGAAGGAGCGTAGGGAGTTTTGGATAAAGAGGAATAAGATTAGCAGCAGAAGGAGGAGAAGACCGGAAAAGAAAAATATTAGGATTAGGAATAGGAATGAAACCAACAATCTTTCTCTTTTCATTGGCGATAAAAATATTAATATTTGGATAGTCATTGAGGAAATTGTCTGGACAAAAACTCAATATAGATATGTCAAAATAATATGACACTGGGACCTTGTGCTGTTATAACAAAGTTTTCTCCGCATGTAAATGGTTAAAAGTTATTTTTTTTTTGAGCAAATGATTTAAAAGTTTTGCCATTCTCAATCTTGCTTGTTCTTTTTTTTTTTTTTTAAAAGCAAATGTGACTAGAGTTTCCAAATTCTGTACACACTGGAATGGAGTCAGATTTGAATGCACTTGTGATCCATTGTTTTGCTGTCCAAGTGTTGGAGAGGCAGAGTACAGGCAGCCTTTTGAGTTTCATGCTATTCTGTGCTTAAAGACGGCTGTTTCAAATGCTGTAATATTGAAAGGTTTCAGCTTTGAGCTGTCTTCTCGCGGTAGAATTATCTAATCTTTCTCTATCTTGGTCTATCTTGTTGGGAAGAAAATTTGGAGCATTTAATAGGCACGTCTATGTGAAATTTTTGGCATCTGGGGTCTGCTGATGCATAAAGAATGCAAATCTTTTGTGACTAACACAAATGGCATCCACTAAATTTGCAACTCTACAGACATATGATGCTTGAATATGACTTTGGCTCCGAGTAGACTTCAATACATGATATCAATGCACTCCCTGCATATTCTACATGATGTCTTCCACCTGTTTGGTTATCAAATCTTGTGTACTCTTTCTAGAAGTTATGATCTAGAGCTCTTTGATACACTGTTGACATCCTTTGATATGAAAGTTGCCTAGTGGGAGTGAAAGTTTTTCCTGACTCGAAGTGTACTTACAAACACCTTCTCAGTTCCTGGATGGCAGGGTAATATTTGTTGAATTTGCTAAAAGTAAATCAGAGCTTCGCCAAAGCCTCAAGCAAAAGCCAAAATTGACTTGATGGGTAAGATATATGATCACACTGGATTAGGCCCCAAAGCCCTGAATCTTTTTGAAGAAACGTCTCGGAAGACTGGCTGAACCTGTGTGTTTACAACTACCAACCTGCAGTCAAATTCAACTAGCAACATCGTTTAAGAATCCCCAAATAATGGAAGATGTGAATGATATCTAAGCCAGCTATTTGAGATGTAAGCTGCGATTCCTGGCCATGTCTACTCTTAGCAATCTGAATGTCATTTTACCACGTTCCACATGGTGAATTGGTTGTATGTGGGTAGAAGAGCAAAAGGGAATCATCAAATTTCTCTCCAGACAAGCATTTACAAAGTTGAAATAAACACTAGAATTTGCTGGAGTCCAGGCAAGGTTTTATATGTGATCATACACGTTCTTCTCTGTCTCCCTAATCGAGTAATTTTGATGTTTATACATGCTGTACCAGTCAGTTTAACAGTTTCCCTTGATAGAATTCAATTACAGCAAAGCGGATGTAGCGAATTTAAATATTTTTACGAGATCATCTAGAGAATCAGTGAACCATTGGTTACTGTAGCAAGTAACGTTTCTGGTGAAGACCAAGGACATAGCTTTCTTCACTCTTTTCCTTTGAAATGGACATACCTCCTGCTTGCTGCATATTAGCATTTGGAAGCAATACTTCTAAATTGTGACTTTAAGCAACTAAAGAGCAACTTGGCAGTAGGTGAACCTGCAAATCAAAGGAAGCACACTTCAGGAGAAATTTGCCATTTGTGTGCGACTCAATCCTCTGATTTCAGAGCTATTTTCTATTTTAACACCTCTCTAGTGTTTCATGGAGGCAAATAACGTTGCTTGAGATGTCAGGAAATGCCAAAGCCTACCACTACCCTTCCTGTTTTTATGGCTGAATGTCTATGTTAAATGCTGAACTTCGGTGTTAGGCAATGCTTAATTTTCATAGTAGTATAGTCTATCCACGAGTTAATCAAGTTGACAGTTGAGACTTGAAAATATGGTCCTCTTTTTCGGCTAATGTAATATACCTCACAGTGGGCAAGTTATGGCTTTATGTGCATACCAACCAGGAAGTACTTGTAAACATAGACACCTCTTGTTTGAGCTGATGCTGGTCACACGTACTCTGTATCTGACAGGGTAGGATCAGGCCTTTAATGCAATAGAGTTTCAACTACTCAGTCATTCATCAGGCCAGCAGCCCTTTGTGGTCACCATTAAGCACTCAAGTCTGGGTGGTCAACCCTTACCTTCCACCAATTTGTTACTATACATGACGACTTTCAGTGGATTTCTCGTGGAATTTCTACTCGTTGACTCTCTCTCCCACTAAAATAGGTTATAAAAATATTACCGTTGCAAAAAAAGAAAATGTCAATCTTCAGCCTTCACTTGCTAGAAAATCTGAACTTCATCATCAGTCACTTATGGTTTGAGCTAATTCTGGTCCCATGTACTTTGAATCAGACAAGGTAGGATAAGGATTTTAATGCAATAATGTAATTGGACAGAGGATTATTTAGGATAATTTTTCGGAAAAAAAAATATTGTAACGTTTTTTTTTATATGATATATGCAAGTTAAGAAAGTGATTGGAAAATGTGTTGATCGTGTAAGGAAATAAAATTTGGACAAACAATCTCCGTCCAAACAAATCCGTGCAATGCACGGGGATATCTTTGAGTCAGACTTTTTTTAATAAATTATTATCTCCAAAGTGAAAGGGACATGTTATAATTACTTTTCTATATTACAATATGAAAAAGGCAAATAATTTAATGAAGCAAAATATTACTTAGAATCTCCTTCAAAATCAAGCTCTATAAGGGTTGTTCAAAATATGACTGAGAATGTCTGAACTTCATCATTCATTTCTTCTGAATGGCTTTTCAATGAAAATGGTCCAACTGCAAATAAGTTTTTCAATCTGCTGATATTCTCCATTTTTCCTGATTTGGGAAGACGACCCTAATTATGTCTGCGGATATTCAAACAGCAATCGGTCCACTTAAATACCTTTCATGCTGCCTAATTGTACCGTCAAAGTTTCCTCCTTTTATCAAACCAAATAATTTCACTAGTTGCTGACAATCTTGGCCTTCAACCTTTTACCTAGACGATGCACAATAGCATCCACCCAAACCCAACCTAGAGAGGAGAAGGAACGACAACTGGAGAGACATTATTATTATTATCTTCAACTATTATTGTTCATGTGGTCCTGTACATATTAATCAAGTCAAAGCTGCACGATGTTTTCTAAACCTTATATTCTAGACGACCAACAACCGTTCTTGCCCCTTGTCCGTCGCAAACCAGCCACTGGTTTCCCTTGCAACAAATACAAGCTTTTCCACTATAAAAGCTGTCATATTGTGCGTTGCAACAGTTGGGTAGTCAAGCAGGCAGGCACGGGCTCTTACTTCCATCACAACTTTTCTCATAGATGATAGATCACTTCAGAGCCTATCAAACTTGAAAGGGCTAACATCTTTCAGCTTATATAGCAAGAGCAGCAAGAGGATGAATAGAATTTAAGGAGAAACAAATTTAGAAAAGAAGCAACCCTACTTACAACATGGAAGCTGTATCAATTCCAGGAAGAAATGTTATTGATAGATTCACAGTTACAAATATTTTCCTCAGGTTACAGTTAGATGTAGAAAGAAGAAATGAAAAGCATTACAGAAGTCAGTAGGCATCATTGTTAAAAAGAAAGACTTATGAACACGTCTTGATGAATTTACCAAATTCATTATCTGACAGATCAATGAAAAATCACTTGTCGGAAGCCATTCCCTTGTTGGCGGCGCTTCCTGATCACTGTGAAAAAGCATAGCTTATCTGACTCTGATTTTCAACAGAATATCCCACCAATTGGTAGCATCTTGAAGATCTTCTCATACATGAAACTGTTAATTCTCTGCACATCACCTGAATTAGCGCGTCAATAGGATCGGAACCCTCTATAAAAATGAATTAGCCCAGATAAAACTGAGAAATTCTGAAAAAAGTGCTTCATGGGAATTAGGATATAACCGAAGGCGCTATGAGCAAATACGGGCTCTTTGGCCCTCCCGCTCCTCAGCTGCAACAAGAGATGATGTTGCATCTCTCTCTGCCAAACACCTTTTGTATGGCACAAACCCTTTGGTAGACCTCTGTCTCTCAACATTACCTAAATTTTTAGATTGAATAGCATTAAAAATTTTCTGCCCCCTCTTGGCTGCAGTAACCAACCCATCGTTCGAACCAGTTAACGATATTTCCCTTTGAGATTCTTCATTCTTGACAGCCCCTTTATATGGATTATTCCCAAAATTCTCTATAGCTGTTTGATTGCTCAAAGAAAGATTTGGCAACAGTGGACCATGAGACCAAGTCCACATCGGTATCATATGGGGAATGGAACCCAGTTGTCCAAAATCCTCACTTACTGCATACTGTGGTACTAAGCAAGCCACTGGGGTAATGCAGCTCGGAACCAACGACAAATTAACCTGTGAATCTATAGTATTTTCTGCAGAACCTATCATATGGCGGCCATTTCTAATGTCTAATTTCTCTTTCATGGAGTGGGAAGGGGATAGTTCAGAATTCTCAGGTGCTGATGAAGACAACTTTTGATTCTCTTTAATCTCTACAGTTCTTCCAAACAACTTAATTGTTGCCGGAGCTTGTTCAAAAGCTGGATCTTCAGCAGGACATGCTCTACCAAATGTCAGCAAATCGAGTTCCTGAAACCACAAATCAAATGAATATAAGAAACAGTTAAACTCAAAAAGAACTAAATAGGCATTAGTAGACTAAACAACCAGAATATAGGAATAGGAAAATAATAGGTTTTGCTGCGGTACCATTGCTGATTCATCATCCTGGGTTGCAGAAGTAGCCAACAGGATTGCATGACCATATTCTTTCTCTTCCTCAACAGATGAGTCAGATGTCATGCATTCATTATCATTTTCAGTTAACTGAACGATAGCAGAGTGTGCATCATCAGTAGTATACGACACTGGCGAAAGGTGAGACCTTTGCGGCTCAGAAGATGGAGATCCACTTGTATCCGATCCAAGTGCAGACAGAACTGAAGTAGGTGACCTACTGTTCCTTTCTTCACCCGACCTCTTGAATGGAGGAGCTTGTTCAGGTTGATGTGGATCATCTAGCGTTGTTTTAGTAACGTCCGTCACTTTACGAGGGTAAGGATGAGCAGGTTTCTTCTTGGGCCGAGGAGGAGGGATTTCAATTGGATTAAGGGAACCCTCACATTCATTAGAATCACGTGCAACCTGTTAGAAAGGAAAATCTCGGTCAACAATCTGAAAGATACGGCATCACCTCTGCCTCATCACCTTAGAGTAATATGAACCACAGAGAAACGAATCAGCCAACTTGCTTATCAAAGTGTGAATATGCATAAAACTTATTAAAGGATCAGTTTAAATACAACACCAACCTTGGCAAAAAACTTCTGAGCATGGCTACGAATCTGAATAGCAGTTTTTGTGCCTACATGTTCTGCATCGCCAGAATAGTATTTAGACAAGTTTAACATACTACTTTCCACTTAAGGTCCAGGCAGCCTATTCACTTGTTTGCTCTACTCTTTAGGAAAGATTATCGAAAACAAGCAATCAAAGAAGGGAAAAACATTGTAATGCAGCTGAACAACCCTGTTCCATACTCACCTTCTATTTGGCGCCAAGCACGACCATACAGCTTTAGAGCTTCAAGAAACCTCTGGTGTTCTTCCTCTGTCCATTTTTCTCTTTGTTTTTTGATGGTATATGGCTTCCTCACCTATTGTATATAGGCACTAAACATCTAATTATGAAGAACTGAATAATTTTGGGAGCCAAAATGAGCAAAGGAGGGTAAACAGTTTAGCAGCATCATGGAAGGGAGAAAGACCTTTAGTGCATATCCATTTCCCATTTCAGTTAAGGCCTGAGTTTGAGCTTCTGTAGTTTCCAAATGAGCCCGCATACCCAAAGATACATCATGGCTAGTGCCTTCAATTAGATCCTACAAAATAGGGCATAAAAACTTCAGATTTTTGAGATGCAATTCAAACCATACATCAATCCAGAAAAGATCCATCCTGCCCCACTTATTTACCCAATTTGGACAGACCACATAAGCTATGAAGTGCCTCCAGTGATAGCCTTTTGCAATTTCCCCAACAAAAGCTCCCCCGTTTCTACCGCATCAAGCGATCCACTTTCCCAAAAGGCCCAAGAATACAAGCGAAAAATCCTCAACATCCCCCTATGCTCTAAATTTCTTTAGTTTACAACAGCATCCTCTCTCCTAACATAATCTCCTGGTCTCAAACTAGATTATATAGCCATCTATTCTCACAAAAATTGTACCACAATCAAACCGAAACTAAAGCTAGCTGAACTACTTAACCACTATAAACTCATAGCCTCAGAATGAAAAAGCTAGCCTTCAATTCCAATTCACAAGCCTTTTAATCAAGATAACTTTTATTCAGTGTTACAGAAGTCAATTCAAGAATCAAACTTTTTCCAAGAAAGCAATTTATCTTCTAGCTGTAATATCCAAAATAATTAGCTCAAAACTAAAATAACCACACCATTGTCCATAAAGCGGCTGACCAACCAATCCCAATTAGTAACCAATATCTCTATTCAATTGAAACATTCTTCGCAACCCTTTTAACAATTCATGATATTCTCCACAAATCATGGGATAATTTTTTTTTTTTTTAAATAAAGAATAGAAAAGCAGCAGAACCAAATCTTGTAAAAGAAAAGGTAATACTGCTCAAAACACTGTACATATAAAGAAAACTTACAGGAGCCTCAGCCACCATTTTCTTCTTCAAGAACTACTAAAAATGGAAAATGGGTTGCCGTAAACAAGTCAAAGATGAAGGCTGAACAGGCAGAGAGATCTTGAAAGCAGAGATATGAGTGGTGAATATATGAAAGATGAACCAAAGAAAGAAATATACAGAGTAGGAGGGAGGGGGGCAGCTGGGGTGGTGGGATTGTGACGTGCCAAGTAGGACGCTTGAATTGGAAATCTAATTTTTTTTTTTCAAAAGAAATCTATTAATGGAAAATAGTAAAATAACAAATGGAAATTTCAAGAAGGTAGAGTAGGAATTAGGAAAGAGATCTTGTGGCTGAAATCAAACGGGACAACTACCACGTGTCAGACAATGCTATGGCTCCCAGTCTTTTTCTGAGTTTGCAAGCACAAGTCTTCTTCAGCTCTCATATGTTTTTCTCCTGGCCAGTGGCCTCTAGACTTCAGGGAGGCAAGGGAAGTAAGTTAGGGTCCATTCCTGGAGTAAGATATTATTAATTAATTAATAATAATCTTTGTCTTTGGACGATATATTTCCCACTGTCTTAAAGACACAAATGCAGCTGCCCACTAACGTCAAGAAAAGTGTTTGTGGAAGATATTCAACCAGCCAGCAATTTTCTGACCCCACTAACCAATCCCTTAACAAGTGGGCTTTTTTTTTTTAATTACCTTTTTTGGTGTTTGGAAGAGAACATTTATAATTTTTTTTTTTTTTGTAAATCTTGGAGATGCTGATTTTTTTTTTGTTTAATTTGTCTAATGGATGTCCTAGGTACTCGTTAAGTAATTATTATATTTTTGATAATATATGATTAATTAGAAAAAAAATATAAGTGAAGGTAGACAAGATTAAATAGGAAAAACGTGTAAATATAAGAAAAAATAATAATTATTAATATATATATGTGTGTGTATATATATATATATATGATAAATTAGGTGAATATTAGGTGTGTTAACAAGTATCTGATAAAAAATTCTTTTTTTTTTTTGCATACTAGTTTATTCAGGTATGCCCAAAGAGTAAGATTTACGAGTGTAGCCAAGGTACAAAACTTAGGAAATATATGGCTTAAATGTCCATCAAAATGTCTGAGGTTTGAAATTGAAGGACACTTTTTCAAAAAAAAAAAAAAATGAAGGCCATAAATATGGTCAAAATCTATTTAGTGGTTAAAGCTGCGGCCGGGCAAGGTCAGGAACAGCTGGATTCAATTAATAATCATTCCCCATAAATTGTGTGTCTCTTATCATCCGTCCTATATATGTAGCTCCTCAACAAAAATTTACTCCCTCCCTTTTTTTATAACTTTTTTTATAACTGACGTTTAAGAAATTTGCTCTTAAGTACTTTTATCTTTCATTGTATTATTTCCATGCAGCATTAATTATTTTTTCATAATTTTATCCTTTTATCTCTCTTTACCAATACAGGGCTCTTAATTACTATTCCTAGTAATTATTACTTCTCTCTTTGCTTTTGACTTAATAAAACAGCATCATTTAATACTCTAGTGAGAGAAAATATGAGTGAATTAGACAATTAATGAGGGTACAAAAAGAAAATAGTGTATAGATTTAAACAATTAAAAACTTTTCTTAATTGGCGTGCAAAACCTTGAACGTCAGTTATAAAAAAAGGGAGGGAGTATATGCATTAATGAACAAAAACCAAGTCCCAACTCTAGTATTATGATAAATAGCATGAACTATCGTCGAAAAAAGTGATTGACTGTGAGTGGAGCGACACAGAATCTTATTTGTTAATATGACCAAAAGTTCTTGAGAAATTAACTTGAAATGTATAGTGTGTCGATAATATTATACACATAAAACTTTAGACGTTTATACAACACATACATATCTTATGTGTATGTGAATATGTACGGCATTTTGCGATATATAATGTTTTCAACAAATTACAATCATATGAAAATTTTCCTAGCTTTAATAGCAAAATTACTAAATTACACAATAGCATATTATTAGAGATTTTAGGTTCAAATCTTTCTTTTCCTTTGCATTTCTTAAATCGACTCTCTAACAAGATTGAAGATATTGCGTGTCGATAATACCATACACAAAAATCTTAGATCATGACTTTAGTTATTTATACAACACACACGTACCTTATATTTTATGAATATATATGATTCAACAAATGGCAATCATATGAGAATTTTTGTGGCTTTAATGTCAAAGTCATTAGATTACACAGCAACAACATATTATCAGAAATTCTGAATTTAAATCCTCCTTCTCCTTCTCCCCCTCCATCCGTTTCTTAAGTCCACTCTCAAACAACATTGAAGATATGTATGCGTTTCCCGCATCATCAAGGTTGGCAGATTATCATGCGTCACTCACTTCACTTTCTTGGCAATGCTGCATTGATTGCAGGCACGCCACTTGGCTCTCTTGCTTCTGTATCATCCACAGATCTACTTTCTTTCTTTTCTTTCTTAAAAAATATGTTTATTCCATCAAATTCAAGGATTGATTTTCCACCACAAGAAATCTTTTATAAACCACTCTGGGCTCTGGGCAAAACTTGACACGCTAACCAATGTTGGAAGCCCACACGGGATTTCAGTGGTTCTCAATGCCATGCTGCACTGATGGGATTTGGGAGCTACAACTTCAGACCGACCTTGGGCCTAAATTCTGGGCCTTTCTAGCACGAGTCGGTAGACAAACGTATCAGTGTGTGTGTGTGTGTGTGTGTGTGTGTTTTTTTTTTATCTCCAAATTCTTTTTAAGAAAGACATCAAAACAAAAAGGGTGAGAACCACACGCTCTGTGCTAACATATTCTGAATATATCTATCTATACAATACAATATATAAGAGGTACTTTTGCCTTACTGTTCAAGGCCAGTTTCATCTGCTCTTCCAAGGCCTTACCCGTCATTTTGCCCTCCATCCGGTATATTTTCTCCTCCTCTTACGCAGGACAATTTTGTGGGTAAGAAGTGGAGATTTTTTACCTTCATATTACGCTTTTGCCCTTGGTCTACTTATTGTTCCTTTGTTTACCCTCAATAAATTCTGTTTTTTTATGGTGCTGTGAGTGTTATGAAATTGGGTTTTTTTGTCAATTCCTTTGACAAGATTGCTGGGTTAAATCAACAAACAGTAATCTCAGGCTCCAATTTACACTTTCCCCCTTAAAGATGCCTTTCTTGTGGATTATAAGATTTTAGCTGGAGGTCATCCTCGGAAAGTAAATTTTATGCCCCCCCTTGCATGAATCTGCTGTTCCCAATGCCATATTAAGCACAATGGTACACAGATTAGTCATGCGCATATGTACTGATCTCCGTCAATTTGCTTTGTTCTATTTGCTTTCATCTCCCACTGCTTTGCTTCCTTTGCATTGCCGCTACTGGTACTCATCCTTTTACTTCCTTCTGTTTTATATTTTATATTATATTTCCTCATTTTTGTTCCACCAAATCTGGATAATGATCCCGCACATATAATGCACCTGAACACGATTACGCTCCGTCTGCACAAAACACTAAACTTAAACTTATAATAAACTTTTACTATCCACTAACAAATTACGTTTGACCAAACTAACTTATAAAACTCAATGCTCAGTTCAAAACAAAACAATACTATACACATGTGAACAAAGATTCCAATCATACAAAAAAAAAAAAAAAACAACAAAAAGCTGCAGCTTCACAGACATCTTTTACATAAAATAATTTCTCCAACTCACAATTAGCTACATAAATAAACAAACATTTTCCCATGTTTTACTTCAGAAAATTTAACCCAAGTAACTTTCCCATGTTTTACAACCAATCTTTCCACACAAGCATTTTCCTAATACCTAAAACCTCTGTTTTCAGAACCGGACCGGATATCGACTCGCCCGAGGTCAGGGGTCAGGGGTCAATGGGTTCGATCGGGGGTCGATAGGGGTCGAACCGGATGACGTCATAAATAAAAATTATTTAAAAATTAAATTATTGTATATAAAATATCCAATAACATATTGATATTAATAAAGGTATATTCATATATATTTGATGTTTCAAATATATTTAACAAGAAAATACAAAGAAATTAGAACAATCAAGTAACAATTTATATTATTTAATAAACATTAACAAGTTTAGAATTAAAATTATGGATTTAATTGAAAAATAACATCAAATTTTAGGACAATATTTATAAAGTATGAAATATTTGAGGTATATTAACAAGTTTTCACTATTTAGGGGGCCAAAATATAATATTAAAAAAGTTTGAACTTTTTTCACAAAAGCTTCTGTTGGACCGATTTTTCCGGTTTTGTACCGATCAAATCCGGTCAAACCCGATTTTTGACCGGAGTTGACCGGGTTTTGAATCTCCCGGTTTTGACGATCAACTCGGACCGGACACTCGACCGGTTCCCGGTTCAACCGGTCAGACCGGCCGGTCCGGTCCGAATTTGAAAACACAGCCTAAAACAAAACAGGCCAACCCCCAGGCACCACCCGCGCCTCGCGCGGGAAAAACAACCTAGTATATATATATATATATATATGATTAATTGTTTTCAATGTATATTCAACATTTATACAAACATGTATCTCAAATAACATATATACCTAATTTAAAAAAAAAAAAAAAAAACTGTAGACATTACAGGACGATGACGAATTTTTTTTTTTTTTTTTTGTCAAGTGACCACGTGTGGTATCCTGAATCACCAGACTAATCCACACGTGTCCCATACCAATCTATCCAAGCCGTGTGGGTTATTGCATCGGGGATTCCATTCTTAGTAATGGTACTTAAGTAAGCTACGACCACCAGACCAAAGCCCCAGGGGCACAGGACGATGACGAATGCAAAAGAAATAATCTGGAATACACTGCTTAAAAGATAAAACGATAAAAAAAACAAAAACTTGGATGCTTAATTATTCCGGCCTCAATCCGTTAAGTTGGAAGTAATTAAGATGATGATGCAGGCTGCAAACGTATGGGAAGTCCTTTTTCTGGGGTGGGCATCATGTCACCGGTGATCTTTTCATTAGGGAACAAAACCTCCCATTTGTAGTTCTTGACCACATTGTGGACGAATGCTAATATAGCCAATCTAGCATACTCTTTTCCGGGGCACAATCTTGGTCCACCACCAAACGGAACATAGGTATATGCTGCAACACCTCTGCCTTCTCCACTTGAATCATACCTCGAAGGATCGAACTTCTCAGGATCCTTGAAGTATGCTGGGTTCATGTTAGTGGTGCTTACTGTCCAGTACACCTTCCATCCTTTTGGAATGGTGTAACCAGCGTAGGTAAAATCGGTTAGAACTTCCCTGAATGTTCCCTGAAGGGGTGGAGTTAGTCTCATTGTCTCGCAAATGACGGTCCAGGAGTACTTCATTTTCTGCATATCTTCCCATTCCAAGAACTCTCCCGGCTTCTTTGAGGCTGCTATCTCCATTTGCTCTGCACGTAGAAGTTACCGTGTAAACACAACATTGGTGAAGAAAATATAGGCTAAATATGCACTTGAGCATCTATTTGATTACAAATGAATGGCTTGGAATACGATTGTCGTGATGAGCCGAGGATATCTATTACCTACTCTGATCTTGCTGTAGATATCGGGCCTTTCTCCAACATATTTCATCAAGAAAGTTATGGTGCTGGCAACCGTGCTGTGCCCTGCGGTAATCAAGCCCATGATCTTATCAGCAATCTCAGCCTCAGGCATTCTTTTTCCAGTTGCATCGGTGACAACAATCATGTAAGACAGTATGTCGTGCATTGGCTTCCCTGCTGCCATTGCTTCTTTCTTCTCCTTGATCACGTCCAGGAGCTCCTTCCTAATTGCTGCTGCAGCCTGGTTCGCGCGATTGTATATCGTTCCTGGAAAATTCACCATGATCGAATGCATCCCTACTGTTACATCATCGAAATGATCCACGAGCCTCGCAATTCGCTCTGGGTTGTCCGTGCCTAAGAAAAATTTGCAAGAAATTGTCAAAGTTATAGTCTTGGCCAGGGGGAAGACCTTCACTTCATCTTTTCCTTCCAAATGAGTTTGCAAAAGATGCCGGGTGATGGATTCAATTTTCCCCAAAAATCGAGCCAATGCTTCAGGTTTCAGAAATCCAGGCTGTCTTATGACTTTAGTCTCTTCATCGATTCGTGGCTTTCTTTGATCCGCAGCAACAGGAGTAGAAGGAGGAGGACGCGGTGGCAGGGTGGCACCGGCGCCCGCTTTAGTCTGGTATGAACGGAATAGCCTTTGGGTGGGATGTGGTCGAAATGCAGTGAAGAGCTTTTGCTCATTAGAAAAGAGAAATTTATGACCATTTGGACCACAAATGACTGCTGTTTTTTCTCCGAGAATTTTAGTCTTGAAGATGTCAGGGGAATACTTCTTCATCCTGTCTCTAACAAACTTTTCAGGCTTCCCGAACAAGAATTCCATCGTTTCGCCGATAATTGGCCATCCAAAGCTCCCTGGTGGAAGCTTGATGTCGGTTTCTGACTCAGGCTTGAAAAAGGCAAATGCAGAAAGAGCAATAGTGAAAACAGCAATGACTACTGAGACAGATAGAGCTACAATCTCCATGGTTAATGCCCCTTTAGTAACTGATGCAAATAGAAGCAGAATGCTTTGTGGTTTACAGCTTAATGGGACAAGAATGTTGTGGTCTATTTATACAAGTGCTGCTGGACTTGGATTAGCATCTTCCTTGATGCAGGAATCCGGCAAAGTAAATCAACCATCAGCTGACGTTCACCTGGAGTATTGACTTGATAAAGAAACACAGAAGAAGTCTCGAGAACTAAAAGTCCAGGTAGAGCGGCTATTTGTTAAGTGTCTACTTAATTCACAAGAATTTGTAAGACTTGGATGACTAATAGTAGTAATTTGAAATCGCCTGAGGTCATCAAGAACAAGTCTTTACTCCAATGCTCACTTCCTAATGCATTTGTTCTCGACAAACAAATTTTACACCACAATCTAGATCTATATCTATATAAATTACAGAAGGGGTTTTTGGTTAGAAGCCATTCCAGACCTTTAAACTCTCAATTCCTATTTTTGTAGATTTTCTGTTTATCATAATTTCTAAAATGTAAGGAGTTGATTCAAAATCTTGATTGTAGGCTGTATTATCATCATTTCAAAATTTAAATTATTTCCAAACTCTCAATTCCCTTTTTTTTTTTTTTATAGATTTTCTGTTTATTTTGATTCCTAATCTTGATTGTAGACTAATATTCTCATCATTTCTAAATTTAAATTATTTTCAAACTCTCAATTCCTTTTTTGTTGATTTTCTATTTATTTTAATTCCCAAAATTTAATGAGTTGATTTCAAAATCTTGATTGTAGTCTATATTCTCATCATTTCAAAACTTAAATTAATTATTTTGCCAGCTAAACAAATCGATATCTATCTATGTCTATATCTATATTATCGACACTATATTACTATTCACCAGTTGATATGTTCTAGAAGATTTCCAATAATATGAAATGTGTTATTTTTCAAGATTTTTGAATTATTTATTCTATAAAAAGTTTGATTAATGTTATCTAATACTTATCTGTTGGTTTAGTTGAAATGTTCAAATTTGATGGGAAAAATTTGGTTAAACTCTTATCAAAAAGCCCATTTACCTGATAGTTTTAGTTCGAATATTTGAATCAGCAAGTTAAAATAACTTAGGAAAAAAACTAACTTTAACATTTCCTATAGGTGATAAAAATCACAATTAAACTAACTTGTCAATAAGCCTCCCTAAAGTTTCCTAATATTAATAGTTTGGTTTGGATGTGTTTTATAATTTTTTTTTTTTGAATGCTCCAAAAATGTTAAACTCATCACTTAACATTCTCCAATAGTAAACATATTATGTTGTATATGTCCCAATTTTCATATAATTTCGCTATCCAAATTCTAATATAATAATTTTCATTATTTGAATTCTAATCTAATTTGCTTTCATATTCAACAAACTAATTAAGGTCTATATGATAATGCATAAATTTAATCTTTTTCTTTACAGACCTTTTCTGTCCATTACTCCATGCACAATATTCAACAAGTATATGTTTCAATATGCACAATATTTAACAATTATATATGGAAATGTTATTTACACTCCTTTTTTGTTATCTGCAATCCCACTATCATTTTTATTATATAGTTTTCATTTATTAGACTATATGATATAACAAATGATGGGAGTGCAAATAACAAAATATGGAGTGCAAATAACATTTCCCTTATATATATATATATATATATATATTTTACTATGACTTTTATTGACATATTCAAAATGATTAGAAAAAAAAAACCTCGATATTTTTTTCCGTGCTTTTTTTTTTAATATTCGTCTTTTATGGGGTGATTGGGTATTCACCCCCCAAATCACAAAATGTAGTACTTTATTGGATGACTATTAAACAACTTATATAAGCATAATATTTTTAAAATGATCGTTACTTGGAATTTCTTTTATTATTAGTTGTACAATGATTTAAAAATAATTTAAGAATAAGAAAAGCTAAGTGAATTAAGGAGACAAAGGTTATTGGTAAATTTTATAGAGGGGCATGTTGTCTCTTATTAGAATATTTGATAAGCTTTTGTGCCATTTTATTAAGTTAAAAAAAAAAAAAAAAGGATGGAATGCTTGGGATTTTTTTTGCCAATATTTTTGTTCTCTAGAAAGAAATAGAAGTTTAATATATCAGCCTTTACAACTCGAATAGTTTCATTTTCCAGCGAATTGGTTAGTTCTTAATTGGCACTAAATGATAAATACGTGAAGATAAACTTGTCTGGAACCGGTCCAACAATTACAGTAAAAAAATATAAATAAAAACAAATAGAGCTACTTTACTTTATTCATCAAGGAGGCACGCCACAATTTTGATTATTATTTCACCTAATCATACATTCTGATTTTGGATATATTATTCGTCCTTTAATAATTAGTTTTTTTTTTTTTTTGGTCGGATATCCTAGATTGCTTTTATACATGCTCTATATTTTTTCATAGTAAAAAACAAATCTAAAATCTAAGGAGGAGGAGTTTTAACTAATTTTGATTATTCTCCATAATTAACGCACTCGAAATTCATAAAACAAGGACAAATGCCAAAAAATATATCCCCAACAAAAGCTCCCCCGTTTCTACCGCATCAAGCGATCCACTTTCCCAAAAGGCCCAAGAATACAAGCGAAAAATCCTCAACATCCCCCTATGCTCTAAATTTCTTTAGTTTACAGCAGCATCCTCTCTCCTAACATATAATCTCCTGGTCTCAAACTGGACTACATAGCCATCTATTCTCACAAAAACAATTGAAACATTCTTCGCAACCCTTTTAACAATTCATGATATTCTCCACAAATCATGGGATAATTTTATTTTATTTTTTTTAAAATAAAGAATAGAAAAGCAGCAGAACCAAAATCTTGTAAAAGAAAAGGTAATACTGCTCAAAACACTGTACGTATAAAGAAAACTTACAGGAGCCTCCGCCACCATTTTCTTCTTCAAGAACTACTAAAAATGGAAAATGGGTTGCCGTAAACAAGTCAAAGATGAAGGCTGAACAGGCAGAGAGATCTTGAAAGCAGAGATTTGAGTGGTGAATATATGAAAGATGCGCAAATTCTAAGGATTGGTACGGTGGTTTGTACCAATGCAGTGGTAAAGTGGTTTGATGTGGTGCGGTTGTGATAGGAGCAAGAGGAAAAGCAAATTTGAAGGTTGTTTTTGGTGTGGGTTAAGGCTACCGAAACTTAAATGAATGTTGTGATGGTGGGTTCCAGATTGAAATGACCCAGGACAATTTGTCAGGCACATGGGTTCACCTCCACTATGGATTCACTCATCGTTAGCCCGTGTGAAAAGACCCAAGACATTATTAATAATTGTTTTCAAATTTATGAACAATAGACATAACCAAGAAAATGCAAAGTTAGATACACAACTGAAAAGAAATTAGAAAAATAAATAATATATGTATGTGCAGAATTAGATAAATTTTGATTCATTTAATTACATAAATTGACAAAAGAGTAGATAATTTAAATATTTTGGAAGAAATTTTGGAATAATATGTATAATTAATTAAACCAATAATAGGAATTAATAGCTGCAAAGGAGTAAATGAATGGTTAATTAATTAGTTGAGATGGAATATTTGTAGGAGAAGTATTATGTTGTTTTATTATATGAAAAGAAATTAATATGATTTTTTTTATTATATTTGCAGGTAGAACATAAAGATATGTTTAAAAAATGCATTTGTAATGGTATTAGTCCAAATTAATGAGAATGAATTGATGGAATAATAACCGGAGTGCAAATAGGTGAAATTTAATTAGACCATACTTGTCACTTTTAAATTTTCAACATTATCATCATAATCACTTAATTATACTTTTATCATTTGATTAACATATTGTCTATGTATTGTCATCCAATAGCACAACTAACATTCATTGATAACCAACCATAAACATTATAATTACCAAATTCATTAAAATAATTTTAAAAAAGCTTTTAAAAGATCAAAATTTTTTGTTTATTAAAATTTTATACCAATTTCTTCCATATAAAAAGTGATTGTTTTAAATTACACATAGATTGAGTGTGCCCTTTATCACTAGTAATACTAACGGTATTTGTACTAATGTATACATGCTTGAAATCATATATTCGTATTGATTAGACTATGTAGTGAATCTAGTGATGCAGTTAATAATATTTTTAATAGGTATAAATACAAAAATATAATTCCTCATTGTTTATTCTAAAAGTAGGACAACAAACAATCTTAACATTAAAAGTATTCCATATACTTTCATGGATAATATAATACAAGATGACATGCCCGAATTTACTAATGAATGAATAATTTTCTTTCAAACAACATAAAAAACTTTTTACAGTTGGTACTCCCGAACTTGAACATATTTTTAGGCAAAAGGAGATAACAATTTATGAAACATAAGTCTATTGTTGTTTGTTTTATCTCGAAATTTAAATATATCCAAACCCCATTCCTAATTTTCCTTACTGTATCTAAATGTTTTGAACATGAATTCTCATATTACAATAAATTATGAAGAGTTAATAATACTTTAAGTGCTTCTTTTTGTGTAATAGGCTCCAAAGTTACTATATCATCTCTAACTTTCATCATTAGCATGATTTTCAGTAATGCCAACAATAACTCTTTTAAACTGGAGACCTCTAAACTTGTCTCATTTTCATCATATGGATAATCCAATAGGTAATTTACATATTTAGACTTTTAACATCTTTTTATTACTAGAATAATTCATATGTTTATAAAAATAAAATAAAACTTTAGTCGATTAAACGAGTGTTTATTTGAATTGTAAGCACACTCATAAATTAATAAATTATTAATTAATTTTAAATTAATAGAATTTGTATAACTCCGAGATTGTTAATTTATAGAGGATTTATTGTAATTTGTATTAAAAAACTACGTAGCATTCATTAAATTGAGAAATTAGTACTTTCATTCAATAACTTCAAGGCTAATTAACTATGCAGCTATAATTATTGCTAGCTATGACTGCATAAAAAGAAGAAGAAGAAAGTATCATACCCAATAATGCTGCACAAATATAGTATTGATGTATACATGCTTAAATTTAAGAACTAGTATTGGTTAGACTATTATGACATAGTTAAGAACAATTTTTAGTGTGGACGAATACAAGATTATAACTTTGCATGTTGGAAAATTAGAAATGAATAGATAATTTACATTTCTTTTATGATTTTAAAAAGCATTGCAAATATATGATAAAATTAATAGAACAAGATATTGTAAGGAAATGATCATATATAAGAGCTAAATTTTCATTTTCTAATGCATTGCTACTTATCACGTGACTTCATCCTATAGTATCAGGTATAGTTGCAAAGAAAAGGACCAAGAATAATTGCAAAGAAAACCAAATATTGTGCACGAAGTGCAAAAGTGTTAACAATAATTGGTAAGAATAATTACAAATTCATGGATTCAATTTGTAGTTTTGTGAAGCAGAAAGAAAGAACTCTTTTCATGATTCATGATCTAATTGCTTGAGTATATAGTAAAAAAGGGCTAAGAATATTTGCAAAACCTTTATTAATCTTGTTTCATATTTATGAATTATAAATCGTAAGAACTGTGAAAGGATTAAGAATAATTGGTATTACAATGAGAAACAAATATTGTTTTTGGATTTGTATTGTAGTTGTGTAAAATAAAAAGAAATAACTCATTTTATGATTCATGAATCATAAAGTACGATTTAATCATTTTTCATAAATGAAAATGAGATGTTGAACCATGAATGTAGTATATGTTATAGAAGGAATAAGAAAATTGACCAAAGAAAACTAATCTTTTCATGATGCATGAAGCAAAAAATAAAGTATAATTCATTTGCAATTGAAAGTGGGAGTGGGAGTGTAATTAACCTTGGGTCTCTCGTTACGGTGGAAGTGTAATTTCTCTGGAGATGGACTTGCTAGTTCTTCCCACTCAATTTTACTTTTTGTTTCATGAAAGGTAAATCAAGCTTAGTTTTCGTTTCTTCCCACTCAATTTCGTCTCCAGAGATGGCAGCCCAACTTTACCTTCACGTGAGCAAATAAACTTTTCCTTCAATTTCCTTTGTACCGTTTTGTTACTACTTTATACTTATTTGTCCCCACAATTTCAGACTTGTCAGCCGCTATAATTGCTTTGACTTTCAGTTCAATATTTGTGTCAGCCTAGTCATTCTAATACCAATTGAGGGTAAATTCTGTAGTGTATTCACATATTTCAAAGACAGGTGTGGAAAGTAAATGATATGGCCAAGAAGCTGGCACGTAGCAACCTGACATGTACGGAGATGAAGGGAATGTTTCTAAAAAAGTAAGTGGTGACCTATAACCGCGGTGAATGTAGCGTACGGCAAATGTTGGAAATGTATTGGGGTGAAACGGAATTAACATAAATATAATGGGGTAAGGAGTAAAAAAAAACCCGTTAACTTTATTAAAACGACCCCAATTTTCAACTCTTTCGTCCATAATAACAACGCAGTACCCATATTGGAATGCATTTTAGAATAAATAGCCAACTCTTTATGGCTTTCCTGCACTACAACTAAAGATTAAATCCATTTTGGATTCGTCAATCTTATATTCAAACGGTGTCCAAGTTTAAAAGTTTCAGCTCCCCTTGGCTTTCTTCCATCACAACAACATAATACCGAAGGTGGCATAAAGAGAGACTGATTTATCGGATAAAAAGAAATTAAACCCGTTGGTGAGTAAAAGACCAGCTCTTTGTGCCTTTCAACCATTACAGTGACAGAGTACCCAACGTGCCTTAAATACAAATGTTGGGTAATGGGATAAAATTTAGTTAAAACGGTTGTCTTATAAACGACCTGCTGTTTGCGGCTTTCGTCCATCAGACGTTGAGGAGAACCCAATTTCGTAGAATACAAAATTTTGGATCGGAAAGCATAAAAATTAACAGCCGGTGTCGGTTCTGTTGTATAAAACATCGAAGAAATTGGGAAAGCAGTACTAAACAAAGCCATGCTGGGGCCACCGAAGAGGAAGCGTATTAGGTACTAAACACACAGCCATGTTGGGGCCCGCAGTGATGCGTGTGTTTGAAGACAGGTGGTGACGTCGGAATCGAAGGCAAAAATTTGGTAAAAAAGAAGTCAAGGCGGAATAGACAGAGGTGGTGTCTACTGGCGTAAATTTAGGCGCAGGCGGTGACGGTAGATATATCTGAGGAAGGCCCTTGCGAAGCTGTGGTGACACAATGCAGCGGCGTGGAACAGAAGCAGAGAAATCAAAGGTGAGTACTTTTTTGAGTTTTTCCATAACTTTGAAAAATGGAGTAAAATAACGAGTAAAACACCTGTACGTCTACTAGGGTGATTTCTACAGTTCTTGTAAGAGGCAATGATAGAGGAATAAGGAATATGAAGTACGGGGTGTAAGACCCTGCGTCTTCGAACGAAGATGTAACGAAACCGGGAAATTATCGCAGTTTATTTGTGCACGGAACTTTGTGTACGTACGTAGGAAATCTTGGTCCTCTAATTTGTATTAAATAGTGTAAAGGAAATTAAGCAGAAATGAGTGAAGACGTGAAGAAGACGTTGTAACAGGACTAAAGTCTTAAAATAGAGTGATTTGGATGGCCGTGTGGACATCGATAATGGCCCCCATACTGCATTGCACATGGTTATGTGAAAAGAATTAAAGAAACACACAGTAGAGGTTGAGTTTGTTGGTGTTAATGAAAATGCATGTCGATAGTGGTATTTTGTGCTAAAGGTTGATATAATTGCATCAGCCACACTTATAAAAACTGTGTATATGAATGTTAGAGTAATGTTTATCGTCTGCATTTTGTGAAAGTTGTGAGGTAAAGTATGGTTTGTTAAGTGAAATGATCGTGTATATATGTTTTGTTCCATTAGTAGACGATCAGTATTTATGTTACAAACGAAAGCATATGGGGAGGCTGAAAAAAAATGTTAAGCGACCATGGTTAGAAAAAACATTGAACAACCACACAGGGGTTGTAAGTATGGGGCAGGATGGGGTGCTTAAAACTCATGACATGGTGCAGGAAATAGAGAAGGGAAAAATGGGGATGGATGGTTACGGCAGGTTAATGTCATTTGACCTTAACCAAGAACCTGAGTGTGACCGAGACACATGCAGTGAAGAAAGCGGTGGTTCAATAGGAGGACACGAAGATGAGGAGGCAGATGAATTGGTGGGCGCAATAGGCGTGGATGACGTAATGAAATTAACATTTGACACGGAAGAAGAAGCTGGGGAATTTTATAATTTGTATGCGAAACTAAGCGGATTTGGGATTCGTAAAAGTAATGCCAAACGAGATGAAGATGGCATTTCAAGATTTAGAAAATGGGTATGTTGCTGTGAAGGTTATAGGAATGAAAAGTGGTTTAATTATGAAGACCGGAAAAGAGAAGCAAAAGCAATCACAAGGACCGGGTGTGGGGCTTGCTTTCGCGTGAAATATGACACAGAATCGGTAAAGTATGTGGTGACACGTTTCATTATGGAGCACAATCACCCGCTGGCATCAGAGGTAAGTGTGCAACACCTTAGGTCGCAAAAAAAAGTGAGCGATGCAGAATATGCGCAGGCAAAAAGTCTAAAGTTGGTTGGGGCCAGAATATGCCAGATAATGAAACATTTTGTTATCAAAGCCGGAGGGTATAGTAACGTGGGATTTTGCATTAAGGATCTGTATAACCGAATGGACGAGGAACGTAGAAAAGATATTTTTAATGGCGATGCAGAAGGGGCACTTGGGTTCTTGGCAGCGAAGAAGGATGCCGATGACATGTTCTTTTATAAATATCATGTAGATAACGAAGGAAGATTGGCAAGGTTGTTTTGGGCAGATTCTAAATCTCGTGTGGACTTCAGTGTATTTGGAGATGTATTGGTGTTTGATACAACATACAAAACAAATAAATACCGCAAGCCACTAGTTGTACTTGCAGGGGTAAACAACCATTTGAACAGTACTATTTTCGGCTGTGCACTGTTATCAGATGAGAGGATTGAAACATATGAATGGGTGCTAAGTACATTTGTAGAGGCTATGAAAGGTAGAAAGCCAGTAGCAGTGATGACAGATGGGGACAGTGCAATGCGAAGAGCGATAAAGAATCTTCTCCCGGATGCTTGTCACAGGCTATGTTCGTGGCACTTGCATAGGAATGCACGGAGTAATATTCGCTGCGAGGAGTTTAATAACAGGTTGTATGACCTGATGGCGAGAAAGTTTAGCACTCTTGAGTTTGAGGATCGCTGGGCTAGGTTAGTTAATGAATGTGGGGTGGTAGAGAATGAGTGGGTGAAGAAGTTGTACCGTAGGAGAAGGTTATGAGCAGAGGCCTATTTACGCGGTAATTTTTTTGCAGGTATGAGAAGCACTCAAAGGTGTGAGAAAATGAATGCTTTTTTGAACGAGTACTTGAATGAAAAAATGCGACTATATGAATTCGTTAGAAGTTTTGATTTGGCAATAGCATGGCTTCGACATACTGAGAGCAAAGCAGTTCACACAAGCGAAAACACAAAACCAGTCTTAACCACAATCCTGCCCGAATTAGAGGCGAGCGCAGCGGAGGTGTTTACAAGGAATGTGTTCTTCATGGTGAGGAAGCATTTGAACAGGCAGGGACTTCTAATTTCTGAGGGCTGGAGCGAGGATGGAGGGAGTCGTACATATTATTACTCGAAATATGGTGGACACGAAATTAGTTGGAGGGTGGTTTATGATAGGTCAATGGAGAAGCTAATCTGCTCTTGCATGAAATTCGAGTCAAAGGGGATTCCTTGTGCTCACATGTTTGGCGTGATGGTGGTAGAAGGAATGAACAGGATCCCAGAAGCATGCATTTCAAAGCGGTGGACAAAGGGAGTTTACAGTACTAATAATGGAATGAAAGCATTTGTTGCAGACGAACAGCTGACACAAATGGCCAGATATGGCACTTTAAAGTCGAGCTGTAATAGTATGTGTTACTATGCGTCCTACATGGATGATGCGTTTAATGACCTGCAGCAGATGTTTGACAAGCATTTTGTGGACCTAAAGGAGAAGTGGATTGAAAGGGGATATGGGGGAGACGGATTTGCAATGGATTCAAGAGTGATGAACGATAGAAGTAGAAGAACATTCGGGCTGTTAGATCCCAGGGTGTCCCGGTGTAAAGGTGATCAGAAGCATGCAGAAACAAAGAAGAAAAGAAAGTGTGGTCATTGCAGGTACTATCGAAAATGCCTACGTAGTTATAAGCAATTTGTTAATTGATAAAATACATGAAGTGGACAGTGAAGGTAATAATTATTATGTGGGTATTTTTCAACAGTAGCAAATAAACACATAATTGAAAGTGCATACAAAGTATACAAAGTTATTGGCAGTGCAAGAAAGTTGAAGTGGTGTAATGTTAGCAATGTGCTTAGTTGACGTGGTTACTTGCAGTCACAAATGATTTGACATGCGATATATGGGTTGAAGATTGCAGGCAGGCCACAACCAACGAACATGCCCATACAAAAAGAATTCGCACAACACAGCAGTTCATGATGATCATATGGAAAATTGTTTGGATGAATCGGTGGAAAAATCATTTGAAATTGGTACGGGGTGGAGCGACTCAGGCGAATGGAGAGGACAAGCATTTGCACCACAAGCATGCGGTAGCGGTGGAAGGGACACAGGTGACCAACAAAGAAGTCCAGGAGAAAGATGAGGCACAACTGTTGTGATGGTTCGGTTTGCAGTTACGCAATAAATAAGGCAGGTTTTGGTGAGTAGAGGTGCAAGAGTATTGAAGGTTGCTAGCTAGGTCTAGATGGGTAAGTCACTGTAGTTCCACCGAAGGCGTCATGCACAGAAGGATCACAAGATGCATCACTGTCATGGTTGCGTCGTAAGCACTGTTGTAGCAAATAGTGCTGCTGCACTTGGTTAATAGGAGAGAGTAAGTAGTTGACAAATTGTGTATTACGGTCCTTTTTTGTAAATAGGAAATTAAGTGGAAGCGTATGTTGCGCAAAATGTCTTCGTGGGATAGACGTTTTCCGAAGTGGCTACTTGGGAATCATCTTCAGTTGCCAGGTTTTGTAAACTGGTGCCTTACGCTGCTGCTATAAACTGCTTTTACGATATGGGCCGTTTGTTCGTCTCCTTGCTATCCTAACCAATGACCGTAAGGCCCAACGCCTTTTGTTTTGCCCATCGTTTCATTCTGGTGTAGGAACAGTAACTTTTGTTTCTCCCCATCTATTTTCATTACTCACAATGCTTATGCGTCTCTTCAGTGCACCAATGACAATGGTATTATTATATATGTATATTAATTTATGCAATATAATTAATATTATGAATTATACTAATAATTATACATATCTACTAATAGAAATTATTAATTAGTTCGAATAAGTTTAAGAATACATTTGTACTAATATATTTAATTAGCCAATAACTATCAGTTACGATTAATATTTTTTACATCATTTGTACATTTCCATTGGAGTTTACTATTTTACGTAACTTGTTGGCACACGATTAATGAATTTCTTATTATAACAATTATGCAATGTCCGCGTCATGTCCGTAATCTAAATTGCTATTAACATGTAGAAAAAATTCCACATGTTTACTGACACTCCATCCGAACAACTTTGATACCTCTGATGCTTTTTTGGTGACATAGTTAAACAAAAATTGGTATATCCTGTTGGAACAATCCACTTAGGTAGCAATGCTTCGTCAGCCTCCCTCAGACTAATTACTATACAACTGTGTGGAAGCTGGAACACACAAATTACTGTACAACTGTGTGGAAACTTGAACTCATGATATAATGTTGGAGTTGCATTCATACAAAAGGCTTTTCTGTCATGATATAAATAAGTCCAGAAAATGTAATGCAGTAAGTATGATAGATTTATAGTAACAACAACTTGCATTTAAATTATTTTGTTGTAAATATTTAATTTCACTGCAAACTTCAATTGCAGGTGAAGAACAATCTTGGACAGACGAAAAATAAGAACAAGACTAGAAATTAGTTGTGGGAAAATGACGGTGACAAATTTTCTATGGAAGCAGTGAAACGGTACAAATTTAGAGAAACAAGTTCAACGTTACCAATTATCTGTGAACTGTTAACATTTTCCGTGCTGGGTGTTCAAATTTTAAATTGTATTAGAAGTACACAACAGACGTGGCGATTGCTCACAGCTCGGCTTTGTTGCTGGGGACTCCCAACTACTTTGCATGCTCATTCCTCCGGCTACACAACCTTGTTTGCGGTTATGGGCCATGGGTGCTCAGTCTTAGGCATTATGAATTCCCTGACATTCGTGAGCTTTGCCTCTACCAAGGTCTTCCGTAAATGTCTCCGTCCCGGCACTTGTGTTCGGACGCTTAGAAAGACAGGATTCCCAGCCACCAATTCCACCGCGAAGGCAGCGTTTCCCTGCCCCCTTTTGGAGCTTCAATGCAGTTTCCAAAATTACCTGTATTTGATGTAGCCTTTGGTCCACCACTTGTGAGTTGTCCGACACATTGGATGCCAAACGAAATATTTCTGCACTTTTTTCTAAGACTTTCTTTCTGAGGCCCATGCACTGAACAAGCAGGTCCTCGTACCAGTTTCTAGGCACCTAAGCGGAAACAACACAGATGGCTGTATTAATTGTACACAAATTGCTAAAATTAAATGCCGAGTGAAGTACAGGGCGAAGAATGCCATACCACATCACCAACAGCACATGGAAGAGGCAACCCTATTACATCGCCACCAACCCTGTGAATGCCCTCCTGCTGCAGTGATCCATCAGTTTGTATGCACAACACAGACCAGGGAGGGTAATTAATTGGATGTTTCAGTGACGGTGTTGTAGCCTCACTTAGTGGCAACTAGTCACATATATGAATTATGCACTCCTTCCCACTGGGTGGCAACGTGGAGGAAGTCATTGGTTTCATTAGCCTGCTGCGCACAAACTCGTCATACGTAGCATATGGAGGGGGATCTGGGTATAGGCTTGCAATGGGCAGTCCATCAAGCACATCATGTAGCGTGTTTCCCGAAATTGTATCAGCGCTGTATATATCTGATGGCCGATGGGGAGGTTGCTTTGCACATACACCTGCATACACCTGCCTAATAACCCTCTCGCCCAGGTAGTAAAATCGTCCCATGGGGCCATCCAAAAGCAATCTCGTTGCAGTTAGTTCCTTGGATTTGAGATACCGACTAGGCAATGCCATTGCAGGGAAGGGTAGCCAGTTGACCTAGGACACAGAATTAACAAGCGATGTAACATTGGTTTGTTGAACAGGCGGAACAAATTCATAACAACTGTTAACACGTAGGCGGTAGAAAATGTAAGATGTCGTAAGTACGGGAACTAACGTTGTCCGGGTTAATGGTGTCAATTGCGGGGCGAAAATGTTCGACCGTAGACGGTGATTGTCGGCTGGCTCTATTACACGAGCGCCATCGCCACATTCTGGGCAATACGTCCCTCTCGTCCTGTTTCAGTTTATACGGACTTAACTGAAGAATTTCATAAGCCCACACCTACACGTGGTTGTACAAATTATATCCAGCGTTGGAGATGAACACTAACTGCCTGAAAAGTTTATTTAACGGAACAGGGTAATGTCGAATTGACACAGAGTGAAGGCAATTGTGGACTTACCTCCCAAACGAAGCTGTAGCCGCCAAGGCTTTTCGTCCGGCGTCGGGAGACGGCGGACATAAATCTGTACAAGGTTGCCATCCCCGCCCCTCCCCAGTTATAATCCCCTATACGATCTACGTCCTCCAGCGCAGGCAGACAGCACAGGTGAATTGTTTCGGCCGTGTTGCTAAGTAAAGTGCGGCCAAGCATGTAGAGAAAGAAAGCTCTAGTTAGATGTGCCAGCTGGACGTCGTCGTTCTCGTCAATGGCTTTGTCTTTGTAGAATGACAATATATCGCTAACTCTGATGGCACCGGCAGAATCAAAAGCTGGCACCCAACCCAATTGGTCGTTGATGTAATTGGCATTTTCCCTAACATTGTAATCCCACGGAATGGGCAACCCGCCCACTGCAACACCGGTTATACAGGTGAAGTCCAAGGGTGTCAGTGTCATCTCTCCGAAAGGCAAGTGGAACGAGTTTGTTGAGTCCCACCATCGCTCCGCAAGTGCGACAGGCAACTTCCTATCTTTATCGGCCACGGGCAAGTGGCTCAGAAAATCCCCAAACCCAGCAGTAACAACTTTCGCGGCCACCTTACGAGGCAGCCTCTTCCACCACTCCATAACTTCGACTGACGACCCTCTAGGATAAATTGAATAGACTTCCTGTGCATTAATGTAGAACCAATTCAGGCAGTTATATATAAGTATAAACCAAATGAGGGCTTAGGGCAAAATAAGTACAAGTAATTGTCGACATTGATTCTGTAACATGTACCCCCTGTGCAAGGAAAATGTGTGATATGTGGGTTTTCCGATCAACCAGCAGTTCTTGCGAGTGTTTTTCATCAGGCGGTGGCCGGTACCGATGGAGCCTGCCCATCGCACGGCTTTTTTGGAGTTGGATTTTATTCCGAATATTGTGATGGCGCAGCTCTAGTTATCACAAAATCCCTGTCGCCCCACCCGCGATTATGAACAGCTTTGCCGTTAAGTGTTGCGGCCTTGTAGGTGCGTAGGCGTCTTTCTTCGCGAGAAATTTGAATTGTTAGACATTTTGGACGGCTGTCGCCAGGTTGGGCGTGCAATGGGCTTGTACCTGGTAATTAGGGTTGCAAATTGGGAAAAATGTGTTACAGTGACGGTCGGCGCGTGTGCTATGCATGATTTCATTGGCCTTGACATACATACCCTTCTCAGTTTTACTTGGACGACTAAGGAAACAGTATTGTGGCCAACCTGCGCGTCGTAAGCAATGAAATGTCTCCGAACGTTTCATTATAGCGAGTGGGAAATTTGGATCAGATTGCCATGAAATAATTTGAATTTATAAACAGAAACCGCAACCCCAAGACATTAACAGCTAAAATTGAAAAGCACCCGTAATATTACGGATGGTCCGGACGATAAACGAATACGGGTTGCCAGAACTGCAATGACACTATGTTGACACGGGCTGTGCAACGCACAGGCACGGCCCTCTAGAACATTAGTTAAATACATACCACCGGCAGTTTTAGTGCACAATGAATAGAAATATAGGAAAAATATTAAGTATAAAAACAATTAAAATTTGCTGTGAAAAGAACTTTGATATATAAAGTTAACCCCAATTTATTGTGATTTGGAAAAAGGATTTGTAACCAACATTATGTGTACGTAATGATACCAAAAAAGAAAACAAAGCAAATCCATTATGAGTGCATGATCGGTTTAAGAGCAGCATAGTTTTAATTGTAATTAAATAAACAGTAGTCATAATGTTTCAGAAATTTTAATAATTAGAAAAAATATAGAAAGGCACAAAAACCTGTGACCAGCTTCAACATCAATCAAAAAAATACAAACTTGCATATTTTTCTTTCTTTTTTGAGAGAAATAGCGAGTTAATCTATCCATTTAAATCATGTCTAATAGCATTACAAATAGATGAAAACATTATCTAACCAAATAGTTATAGAATATGTATAGCAAGTTTAAATAAAAACATGAATTGCCATATTTGTAAATCTACATATGCAAATTCAAATTCAACAATTTGTTTGATTGCAATTATGTCTTCTTAA